TTCCTACCTTTGCTTCTTCACGTTTACCTATTCTTTTCTCCATTGGCATGGACACTTTCCTCTCCCATTCTCCCTTTCCCTTTCTCCGACCTCTTTCGTTTTCTGTACATTCCGTTCCTCCGTGACTCCCGTATTTGCTCCTCTGTTTTCCCTGACCCACCAAAGTCAGATATTCCCCCTTCTGTTCTTCTCACCCATTTCCCTGGGCATGTTCCCATTCATTCCACCAGTATTCACCCCCGGTTTCGCAGTAACCTTCCCAACTCGCACATTCAAATATCCCCTCCCTCCTGAATCCAGTGGCCTTACTGCAGAACTGTAGGTACTCCTTTTCGCCTTAAAACACACTATACTCCCTCCCTTCCTCCTCTTTCCCTACTTATAGCGACTCCCGTCACACGACCAACCACCTTGTCTGTAAAACTCGTGACTGGTTGTTCTACCTGTTTACGCTCCACAAATCTATCAGATTTTACTGGGTACCCAGCCATGTCGGAATCCCCGGCAATGAACAGGCAGTTACTCTAGCACGCTCTACCAGTATGTCCACACCACACCAAACCCGCTTTTCACGTATTACAGCCACGATTATTACCCCTACTGTAAGACCTTCCTTTATACCCGATGACAATCTTTCTGCTCAAGTCTTCGCACTAATAAATTACACACTGTAAAACTATCGATCTCCTCCTGGTTAGCTCCATTTCAACGGAACAGAACACGGCTCTCGCCCGCTTACGTATGGACCAAACCCGCCTAACACACTTCTATCTGACGCTGGGAGACGGCTCTCGCCCGCTTACGCATTGACCACACCCGCCTAACACACTCCTATCTGATGTCACGTTCTGATCCGCCCCTGTGTTCTCTATGCAATGTTCCTCTTTCAGTACCACACATTCTGTTGTCCTGTCCACACCTTACTGCAGCCCGTACCTCTGCTTTCCCTCACCTATCCTCCCTTCACCGACCTCCCAACCTGTCAGACATTCTTATGGAATCCCACGCTTTTTGCTTTGTTGCATACATATCCTTCATTTGATCTAACCTCCCTTGAACAATCCAACTTTAGCCCATTTACTCATCACCTCCTTTACCTATCTTTACCATTTCCAATACTACTCAAGACTAGACTAATAGCAACTAATCACTAACTCTCCCTACCCATTCTAACACTATACATGAACTTAGATGTCTACCATATTTTCATAAGCTCCAGTAGCTTAGACAGTAGATTAAATTAAATATGTATGTAGACTGACGGGACTATGTATTTATTAATAACATAATGTGAGCATTTAATACTCTACTTAAATATAAGAATCATGCCATTCTTAAAGCCAAGTTTACTCCAACAATAAAGGTTTATCAAACCAAATGTAACTGAACTTGACCTGAAATAAAGTTTTCTGAAATTAGCTAAAACAAGAAAGGAGACCAGAAAGCACAGATTTCCACCATTGCCAAGAAATCTAGTTTCAGAATATGTAAGTCTATCACAAGTTTGTTAAGTAAAATACATTTCTCAGCATAACAATTTTCGTTAATAAATCCTTTTAAGTGGATCCAATTCATCAGTAAAATCTTATCAGCTGCTCCCAAGGCCATGGCCAAACCACAGATAAATGTTCCTCACAATCAACCTTAGTTGTTGTTGTTTTTTTTTGTGTGTGTAATCATGTTGACAAACAAATCGAGGAATGTACCAGTTAATAAAAAAAACTTCTTTCAGTAGAAATAATTTATTGGAATAGCCTACTGAATGATTAAAAGTCTACTCCAGTTAGATTCACACCTGTGTTTTCGCTCCAACTTAATCATGTAGTTGTATATGAGTACCTGGATATATAAAAAATGTAAGGAAGTGACAGGTACATCATATTGTAATGCACAATATGATTGTATGGGATTAACTTGACTCGACGTTACATACCTCTAATAACTGACGAAGTTGGCACAGCAGATAACTGAAATTAAATAACCACTATTTTAAGTCTGATGGCCATTTGTCTCTTATTTATAGTGGACAGATTTATTATCTCAATCCTCTTTTTAACTCTTCTAACCCCCCTCCCCCTTAATATGTCCATATGATTATTTCAAATCAGCAGTGAATTTCCTACCCTCTCTTTGGCCTCTTCAAATGCAGTGATGAACAAAAACTACAAACAAGTTATTTGTTGTATATACAGATAAAGCGAAAAGGTAAATTGTGGTGTTTTGAATCTCTTCCAATGAATCAAAAATAAAATGGGCCATCCATTCTGTTTTGCTTCACCTGAATGGGAATGAAGATGGGTTTGATATGTCATGTATGGTTGTGGTTCATTTTTATATTCATTATTTTATGGGCTAAAATCTGTCTTGAGGCTGAATTCCAGAATCAGAAATATTTGAAAAAACACTACATTAATGCTAAATTGAATATTCCGGGAAAATATCTGGCTCATGCAATTAACACGTTCTTTTGTCGGGTACTGAGCTTCTTTACAGCAGCTGTCGGTCTCGTGATATTCATGTGCTTTGCTGTCGTATAAATACAGGAAATATACATATGATGTCCCGAGTTTGGAATTATACATTCCTTGCACCTAGTTACAGACAAAGTATCATCTTTGCGTTAGTTGTGGCTCCAGATTAGTTTCAACCCAGCCGGATGTGGCGCACTTTTCCAGGCTAACGCCGGCTATTGTTTACTGTTTGTATCTTTCTTAGCTGTATTCAATAGCACCCAGAAGCCGTGTTCA